GATAGAGATTGTGCCCAGATAAAGCGAGAGACAAAAAAAAGTAGAGAAAGGGATTGCTGACAAGATGGGGAAGAAGTAAAGGCTGAGTAAGTGATAATGGAAACTGTGAACAGTTAACATCGGAATTAAGGGTGGCAGTAGGCAACTCAGCCCTTCGAGCCCACTCCACCATTTAACATGATCGTGGCTGATTTTATCCTGGTGTCAACTCACTCTCCCGCCTGCTCCCCATCGCCCTTTATCCTGCTTTTCATCAGAAACATATCTACTTCTTTCTTGAATCTATTGATTAATTCTGCTTCCACTGCACTCTGGGGCAGTGAGTTCCACAGATTCACAACCCTCAGAGAAGTAGTTTCTCCTCATCTCAGTTTTGAACCTACCTCCTCTCAGTCTGTGTATGATGCCTTGTTTGAGACTGCCTCATAAGAGGGCACATCTGTTCAACATCCACCTTATCAATCCCCTTCAGCGTTTTATATACCTCACTCAGGCCCCCCTCATTCTTCTGAATTCCAACAAGCACAAGCCCAAGCTATTCAACTGCTCCTTGTACGACAGCTCCTTCATCCCTGCAATCAGTCTGTGAACCAGCTCTGAACTGTCTCCAGTGCTACCACATCCTTCCTCAAGTAAGGAGACCAAAACTGGACACAATATTCCAGGTGTGATCTCACCAACGCCTTGTATAATCGTAACAACAATTCTTTACTTTTATAATCCAATCCTTATTATCCAAAATGATAGACAAGAAGGAGTAGGAGGTGGAGTTGCTTTATTGGTTAAGGATGACATCAAGGCTGTATTAAGAAAGAATATTGACAGTATGGACCAAAATATTGAATCAAAATAAACAGCAAGGGAAGAAACCCCTTAGTAGGAGTAATTTACAAGCTCCCCCAACATACTTCTGAAGTAGGGCATAGTATAAACCAGGGAATAATGAGGCCTTGTGAGAAGAGCACAATGATGATTATGGGTGATTTGAACATGCATATCGAAAGGATTAATCAGCTTGGCAAGGGTAGCCTTGAATAAAGGCTTATAGAGTGTACGAGGGATTGTTTTTAGAGCAACGTGTCTTGGGGCTAACCAGAGACCTGACTGCTTTGGATTTGGTATTATGTAATGAGGAAGAATTGATAAATGGTCCTGTAGTTAAGGATCCTCTTGGAAGGTGTGACTACAACATGCTAGAGTTCAAATTTCGGAATAAAAGAATGACGACAGAGTCACATACAAGAATTTTAGTGTTGAATAAAGATACAGGCCTGAGGAAGGAGTCGGCCTGAGTGGACTCAGCAAAAATATTAAAGGGCAGAACAGTTGAAGAACTGTGGCAAATGCTTGGAAAGATATTAAATACCTCTCAAAGTATATTCCTGAGAGAAAGAGGAGTTGTAAGAAGGTTAAAACTCATTCATGGCTTAATAAGGAAGTCAAGGGTAACATCAAGGCAAAAACTAGGGCATATCATACTGTAAAAGATAGTGGCACTCTGAAGGATTAGGAGAATTTTAAACATCAGCAAGGGATTGCTAAAAACAAAATCAAAAGAGCTAAGATAAACTACAAAAGGAAACTAGAAGGAAACATAAGCACTGATACCAAAACCTTCTGTAAGCATATAAAAAGAGAATAATGAAAGTAAATGTTGGCCATTTAGAGGACGAAAATGCAAGGAAACAATGGGAAAGCCAGAAGTGGCAGAGGCACTAAGTCAATATTTTGTCTCCGTTTTCACAGTGGAAGATAATACTTTCTTCTCAAAAACTGCAGAATAGTTGAAAATGAGTTGGCTGTACTAGGAGCAGCCCTTACAGAACAAGACCTAGAGGTGTCGGGGTGGGTAGCCGACATGGAGGAGGGTATTCGTCCTCTGAAATTGTTAAACTCAATGTTGAGTCCTGAGGGCTGTGAGTTACCACGAGGCGGAAAGTGAGGTGTTCTTCCTCCAGCTTGCATTGAACTTTATTGGAGCACTGCAACAGGCTTGAAACAGAAATGTTGGCAATGGGAACAGAGTGGTGTAATTAAGCGACAGGCAGCTGAAAGCTCTGGAGCCTTGAATAGTAAGGAGGGAGGAGGTGAATGAGCAGTTATCATTGCATAGAAAGATGCCATGAGGATGCGGGGAGGTGTTGGGAGTAGAGGAGGATGGAACAGGATATTCTGAAGGGAATAGTCCCTGCAGAATCTAAGAAGAGAGGGAAATATTTGTCTGGTGGTGGCATCTCACTGGATCTGGTGGTTTTATGATCCTTTGGGTGCAGAGGCTGATGGGGTAGAAAGTGAGGATGGGAGGGGAAGGGAAGAGGTGAGGGCAGAAGTGCAGAAATTAGGTTGAACACAGCTGAGGATCCTGTCAACCACGGTGGCAGGGAGTCTTTGGTTGAGGAAAAACAATGGACGTGTCTGAAGCCCTCTGCAGAAAGTGATACCATTCAAACAGATGTGACGGCGTCTGAGAAACTGGAAGAACGAATGAAGTCCTTGCAGGAGGTAATGTGTGAGGATGTATAGTCGAGGAAAATGTGGGAGTTGGTATGTTTCTCCACTTCCTGTGGATAGATTCTAGATTACCAAAGGGTGAAAAATTATCTGTGTATGTGGAATGCAGAGTTGGTGGAGCAGGCTCGAAGGGCCAAGTAGCCTACTCTTATTCCATGTTTGTGTATTCATAACATTCCCTAGTTGGAGTCATACCCAACACAAAGAAAGATGGTTGTGGTTGCTGGAGGTCAGTCATCTCAGTCCAGGACATCACAACAGGTGTTCCTGGGCCCAAGCACCTTAAGCTGCTTCATCAATGACCTTCCCTCCATCATACGGTCAAAGATGACATGTTTGCTGATCATTGCCCAATGATCATTGCTATCCGTAACTCCTTCAGCTACTGAAGCAGTTTGTCTGCATGTGCAACAAGACCTGGACAATGAAAAGGATTAAAATGGTAAATGGCAAGTAATATTTGCGTTAGACAAGTGCTAGGTAATGGCTATCTACAACAAAAGCTGCACACACGTCCTTTTGCATTATTGGTATTACCATTTACCAATTCCCTTCCACTGATGTCCTGGGAGTTAACATTGACCAGGAATCTACCTATATACACCATATACTATAGCTATAAGACCACATAAGAGAATGGAAATTCTCTGGTGAGTAACTCACCTCCTAACTCTGTAATGCCTTTCCATCTACAAGGCATGTTTCAGGAAGATGATGGCATACTTCTTGCTTACCTGAATGATTACAACAACTTTCCAGCTTAAACATATTTTAAGATAAAGCCGCCAGCTTGATTGACACATCATCCAGCACCATAAACATCACTGATATGCAGTGCCAGCAACTAGCCAAACCTGCTATAGAGCTTCTTTCAAACCCATGACTTCGACCATGCAGAATAGAAGAACAAAGGTAGCAGACACATGGAAACATCCCTACCTGAAAGTTCCTCTTTAAGTCATATAACATCTTGGTCTGGAACTGGTATCACTGTTCCTTTTGCTGTCAGTGGATTTAAAAAAAAAAATACCCTGGAAGACCCTCCTAAACAGCATTGTGATGGCAAAGAGCAAGGTTGGATCTCCGTTTTTTTTTGTTTCCAGTTCAGATTCCAGCATCTGCAGTAATTTGCTCCTAGAAATCCAAACTCATGGATTCTTGATCTTTAAATAAAGAATAAATGAACATTGTACTGTACCTCTTCCCCACAGCACGTGCACACGAGGAAATACTCACTTGCTCGCTCATTCACTTCCAAAGAAAAAGGGGAAAAGAAAACCTTCTAGTCCACCATTAAGGTTTTGGCAAAGTCACTTACCATGCACTCGTCATGAAGTCTTGACAG